GCCAGGGACACGTCGTGGGGTGGGTACCTGGAGAGTGATGTTGAGGGGTTGGAAATGGCACGCCTGGTCGTCCAGCTGAACGAAGTTGGATGCATCCACAGACTCGCCATACACAAAGGAGGTTGGGGACACGATTCTGAAAGAGGAAAGCACAACCTCTGTCATTCTTCCTGAGGTCAGGCCCCTGTCCCCGCCGGGCTGGGAGCTCAAACATCACCTCTCTTACCCGCTTCTCCCACCCATTTTCTTCCTTGCTGGGTGGTCACTTCTCTCTCTGCAAGTAGACACAGCTGGCCCATGGCTTCCTAATGGACATTCTAGCATGTCTTCTAGCCTTAGGCCATATTAATAAGCTCCATAAACGTTATATACTGAGACTACATTGCTTTGTGTATGTGTTTCTGTGTGCTTACAATGTGATCACAGGCATAGAGGTCAACATCAGGGGGCCTCCTTCTCTCTCCATCTTATTTTCTGAGACAGAGACTTACTAAACAAGAGCCCTATGATCTGCCTGTTCTGGGCTTATGGATGCTCATGGCTACTCCGGCTTCTGACATGGGTGCTGGGGATCTGAACTCAGATCCTCATCCTCTTATCCTGCAAGCACTTTACTGAATGAGCCATTTCCCCAGGCATCCTCCTAACTATGCTCCTAAAACAAAGTTTTAAAAAGCAAAAGTTACAGAAACAAAACCAAACCTACCACAAAACCTTGATTATAAGATCACACATTTTGTTTGTCATTTGAAAGGAATTCTGTGGAGAACACTGATAACAAGCTTCTGAGAAATAAATGTAAATAAATTATGTATTTGGCAACCAAGACTGTAACACTTTCATTTTTAAACACCATGTATATCGATCAGACTTCCATGCTTATTAGAAATGAGATATTTTGGGGGTTTGCTTGCAAGATGCCTGAGGGGGTAAAGATGCTCGCCACAAAGCCTCATGACATTAATCCAGTCCCTGGAACACATGGTGGAGGAGAGACCTGGACTCCCCTGAGTTGTCCTCTGACCTCCACATGTACCATGGTGCCTGTGCATGCACACACATGCCTGTATACACACACAAATAATAAATGCACTAAAACATTAAAAAGAAATAGGTATTTCAAAGGAGAATAAACTCAATGGTGGCATGATCTCATGGGGGTTTCGATGGTGGTCTTCTAAGAGGTGACTTCAGTTGGTAACAATACTTTTCACAATGCGCACATGACTAAAGCTGACAGCCCCACACAGCAGAGGTCAGACTGATCCCCCAACAGCGGATTCTAGGTGTTCAAAGCCTCCCAATACAACAGTGTGAGGCCCTGAGGGACCGAGTCCGAGAGGACAGCCACCTTCTATTCCCGTCATAAATACGTTATGCTAGTAACACTGTGAGTTCCAACCCAGCCAGATGGCAAGAACTGGTTCATTTAAACTCACCCCACTCCCCATCCCTGGAAAGATCAGAGGTTGACTCATCTGTTTAACTGATGGTTTCATGGGGGACTGTTAATACCTCACAGCCAGGTCTCCTAAGGCCTTGACAACATGATCGAGTGTGTGTGGGGGAGGTGTTTTCACTTCATCCCCAAGGACAAGGCCTGGTTCTGGGCATTTTGTCCTGTCCTTTAGACAGAATGGATAAATAAACCATATGGTTAAAAACAGAGCTGTGAACACAGGCCAACACACGCCGTTTTGAAAATACACCAGAGCCTTGTGCCTAAGAACCATGCTATGAAATGCCAAACAGGAACGCAGGACTGCTCTTTCCACTGGCTCCCAGCAGAGTCCGGCTACTGCGGGGTTGACCCTTCCCTCCATGGAGCAGCATCTTCCTTCTGGGCCAAGGCTTAGATCCAGAAGCACTGAAAACTGAGACATGAGAACCTGAACTTTGAGAAAGTTCGGCTTGCATTCGGGCTAAGGATTCACTGAGTTCCCCTCTGATCTAAATCAATTGTGTGACCCTCCCCAGCCCCGCCCGCCTCTCTGCTATCAGAGAAGTATGTAATTTGTTTGCTGAAGCTGGAGACAGGAACCGGGTTCTCATTTTTCTAAGCTTGAGCTCTGGCTGAAGGCTGCCTCAGGTCGCTTCATGTCCCTGTAGACCACAGCCAACAACAGCCCTGGTTTCCAGCAAAGCCTGCGGCACTGAATGGCTGTGGACTTCACCTGGACAGGTTGGTATTGCTGTTGTGATGGCTCCCTGTCCATTCCAGACCATCACAGAGGTGAGGCAGAGCTGTTTCTGGCTGTGCTCACGGAGGTACCAGAAATAGGAAAAGCCAGAACTGACCATGGAGCTGATCTGATCAGAAGGGCAGCCTTCCTGGGAGCTAGGGCTTGAGGAACACTGAATGCAACCTCTGGCCTGGCAGCTTTTGGCCGATACTTTAATCCCATAACCACAGCCCACCACTATACGGCATTCTGGAGTGATTGTGTGTGTTAGGTATGGGTGTACTAGGAATGGGTGCAATAAGGACACACAGAATGTTCAGAGAAATTGTGGGGTCTAAAGTTCTCATCTCACTTCCCTTGTACCAGCTATGTGTCTGGGCAGCTGGGATTGACCAAAAAAAAAAAAAAAAAAAAAAAAAAAAAAAAAATAGCAGATGAGAGGTCGGTATGGGTCACCGAGGTGAGTGTTCTCTCTGCTTTCCAAGGCTGGCAGGCAGGGAGGTGGCAGGGCTCCTGCTCTTGGCTATGACACATGGGATCTGGGAGCAGCAGAACCTCCCATTGCAGGGCACCCTGTGTTCTGACACTTACCCAGCGATGGACGTGTCCACTTCGTGCACCAGCGGCACCTCCAGTGTGAGCATGTTGTCATGCAGGGCCTCGGAGCGCTCCATGTTTCCACTGTGTGGGGAGGGAAGACGGAAGGGACAGCGGTCAGTGCAAGCCGCTGCCTGCCTGCCCCACGCTACACATCAAGCCTCACATCCTCTAGACTCACTTTTTCTGGCCCCGTTCTGTTTGTGGTAGAGAACCCCTGTACAGAGGCATGTACAAAGATGTCAGGCAAGCGGTACACATGGGAGGCAACCCCAGGGAACACCAATAGGTAACAGAAAAAGACACCAGGAATGAGAAGAAGCCACTGGAGGCTTGCTACCCAGGAACAACATGGTGGGGGCAGCCGGGACTCAGGCTCGCTGGGGAGACTTTGGGAAGTAGGATAGACCACGGATCTTGGATGCTCCAACTGAAGGCACAGAGACCCCTGAGGACTACTATGGTAGAATAGAGAGAGGACACAAATTCTCTGGTATCTCCCTGTCACACAGGTGAGTAGGCTCCCACCAGAGAAAGTTCCAACAGGATAGCAGAAGCCAAGATCTAACTCTTCTTCATGAGTGTGCTGTGAGGGGCTACCATGGAGCCTCTGTCACACGTGGGGCCTCTTGAAGCACTGGCTTCATAAACAGTACTTTAGGTACAATTCCTTCTTTC